ATATATATATATAATTTAATTACATTTTTAAATTATATATACACACACACACACACACACATACATATATATATAAAGTGCTGCGTTAACACATGCAATTAATTTTTTCAGTTTAACATGCTAAAAATATTTAACACAATTAACGCAGGGGCAGAGCTAGGGTTGGCCACCCTACTGTCTCTTTTTTTATTGACAAGAATTGCATTTATTTAGACGCAGAACGTCTTTACGACCACATCAAACGGGAGACTTTTCAGACGTGCACTCAAGCTTCACCTCAGCGGCAGGCGCTAGTTAAACGAGTGCAGACTTTGTTCAATTGCGTGCACAAATGCGCCGGCGCGCGCTGTATATCATTTCAAATTAAAGCACAAAAGAAGCTATGAGCATGCAGCTACCAAAAAGGTGATTAAAGCTGCCTTTATTAAATGCTTCCATATTGAAGATCTCTTGTCACTGTTCTGTTGGGTTAAAATCAAACTTATGACATTACATTTCCATATATTCTTTTTCATAACCTTTAGAGTTCACAGCGTGCCAATAACACACCCACCTTTCTAGCTTTTGAAAAGAGATCATACAATTTAAATCAGGGCCTGAGTTTTCCATTTGTTTTGAGTCAACAGGTAAAAGGCAGCCAGAGCCTCTACAGTTAACATTTATCTGTAAAATGACAATAATGACGATACAAATCAGTCCGCTGTGGCACTCAGAAAACAGCATCTGAGGCCAAGGGAATGAGCGCCACTTGTTCAGTAGTACAAGAGGGAAATTGTCCCCCTCTGCTGCACACACAATATTGCAGGTGCTTAAATTATTCATCCTGTACGAACGCTGGGGTCTCACTCAGAGCCAAAACTCCAGCCTCTTAATCTCTACTTTATATTCCATTTTATATTTTACAGCTTTGTTTACTCCAAAAGGGAGATAAAGAGTGTTTTTTCCCAAAGGCATAGAGATCTAGCTTTGTTCCTATTGAGAACAAAGAAAACAGTTGTGTGTAATTTTCATATATCACCATGCAACATTTTCTGTCAGCTGCCTTCATCTTCCTGGCAAACAGGCATAAGAATTGCACACATTTGGTTCTTGAGTAATTGTAACCCAAATAATGCCAACTGAATGATTTACCCAGGTCTTGCACCACTACTCATTTTCAATAGTCAACTAGTCGTACAGAAAAGTAATGGAAGAGCTGTTGTTGATCATTGTTTAACTTATGTAAATGATTCACCATATGCCATTTAGCTTTCTTTGCTTTTTTTGGCAAATTGTGCTGATAGATGGAAAGGGTGTGAGCGGAGACGGAGAATGTCCGAGCAAGCACTTATATCTCCATCGCCAGATTCATGCTGCTTGTGTTGAAAATAAAATGTCACGCAGAGCAAAAAAGTCATGTACCAATTGCTTCTAGTTTCTGCCAACTTTTGGGCAACACTTGACTTGTTTCAAGGCAGATATACATACATTCTCAGTTTACAGTACTTATGACATGTTTTATGAATACAAAAAAAAAAGTTCTTAAATGCCAAATATGAAAATATTGTGACCAACAGATGGCGGGCCGGCAACTTGGAACACTACCTGTTTAGTTGAATGAGTTCATACCTTATTTTGCCCTTCCATTGGTACATCTGTTTGATGTCAATAATCAATGATGGTGTTCATTAGCTTGCAAACAAATATGTTTAGATTACAGTTATGCAAATAATGGAACTTCTGAAATCTGTAACAAATAGTTCCATTAATGCTACACAATAGTATTTAAGAAAACATAAAAATGATGCTCCCACTGAAGTCACTGACACTAAATGTTTTTAAAGTATTTTTTTAAATCTTCGCTTTGTTAAAGGCATGCATAGTCATCCATTTACTCCAGTAGTTTTCATGTATATTAGTGACGTATTTACCAAGAATAGCCTAGTTTGGGTGCGCCCTTCTGTTTCTACTGGGGTCTTGAGGCTCAAGCGGTCTTGACCTGCCCTGGGACCCTCTCCCTGGGGCCATGGTGATGGGACTGCTCCAGGGACCGCCACTAGTCCCTCCCTCTGCAAAGAGACTCACTGTACTCAGTAACTTTCACTTAGTCAAGTGAAAGTTATTTTAAAGGACGCCAACTAAGATTAGGAAGAACATATGGTGGGCTTATATTAATTGATTCTGTTAAATGATTTAACAAAGGAAGAATACGCTAGTTGTTTTTCCAGATCTTCAGATGCTACTGTGATACATATGATTTGTTAATGGAAAGTTTTTGCTATCGTAGTAATGAAAGTCCATCAATCACATTGCAGAGCAATTAACAGCACATCTAAAACAGACAATGCTCAGCTAAACACAAAGACGAAGAGCTGTACATTGGGGAAGCACAGAGACAAAAACAAGATTAAAGCCATATAATACAAAGTTGGAAAAGACACAAAAGGATTTGACAACCAGGAACGCCCAAAGACTGTGAATAAAAATGAGAAGAAGATGCATTCACAGGCACAGAAAAGAAGATGGCGGGGGGGACATAAAGCAAAGGTGACACAAAAGAGAATTATGGGAGTATAGTTCTAAAAAAACAAGAGCAAGGAAGTCCAAACCCAGCATCTGAATATGTGTACTTCCATAATAAAGTATATATAGAATTTCAAAAGCAGCATGTCCGAGTGTGCAGTGTTCATGAAACACTGTTTAAATCAATGGACATTTTACTATCCTATGAGGCCATGGAAGAGGAGAAATAGTCAAATAGTGCAAAACACTGATGCAACAAGTCACAGGTGTACTGTATACTTGGAAAAAAATATGTATATGGTAGTATCTAAGTGACCATTTATTATTATTAGCAAGTGAACATTTATTAGCAATGTTGAAAACAGTTGTGCTGCTTAATATTTTTGTGGAAACATCTTAAGGTAACAACTGAAGGTTTTTACAGTGTTTGTCCGGAGAGTTGGATGCAGTGCAACACAGACAATAACAGAAATTCCAAGATCCTCTTGAGTGCTGTACAGTACTTTAAGTTGTGATACTCACTTGCATAAAGACTCGCAGCAATCGGTTCCATGAGAAATGCAAAAATAAACCATATTACCAAAAACTATTCCTTTAAATATTAAAAATATCTAATATTTAAAAAAAAAATACATATGAAGAGTTCATTTGCAAAAACAGATAAAAACTCAGTTTTTATTAATTTTCATAAATCATGTTTTTTATTGTGCATTCCAAGTAATATCAATCAAACTGCAGTTGGGTTGTTTTGATTAAGTAATAATAACTAAAAAAAATACAGGTAACTTACAAAATTGAAGTTTATTGAAAATATGTTTTTTATATATATATATTAAACGTTTCGGTTAATCTTTGTAATCTCCTCAGCTCACAATGTAGACGCCTGACAAACTTTATGTTGTGATTACACGCAATACAGGGAGCTTTTCCCTCACCACTGTAATGTGCTGCTTTAGCAAGGTTCCGTGAAAAAGTTTCAGCTTTTATTTTCCTTTTACGCTCCGAAGAAGATATCACGGGTTCATTAAGCTTGTCGAAATTATCCATCCTCGATCACTTTGTCAGCTTTGACGAGACTCCTCTCATAGCATGTCTTTTCGAAGTGACTAGCAGCCTTATCACCTGACCTGAATACTGTGCGCTGATTCGCTAAAAAGGACTTATCAGGCTGTGTTCACAAACAACAAGGGTGCTTGTCGGTTTCTGCTGTAAAACGTGAACTTGCGATGCCTTGACAGTGGACAAAACGTGTTTAGGGTTCAGAACGTGCTATATGTGGAGAATAACACACGGCAGTCAGTTTATTATTTTTTTTAAATGTGCCATTTATCGTTTTTTACAAATGAACTCTTCATTTATAAACATTAAAAATAGAAAATTGATTTTCTAGGAATAACAATTCAACAACAATGAGAATATATTTACTCTGTAGTCTATGAAATATTGAGACTTGGAATTAATGGTAAATTAATGATGTTCCTGTGACCATGGGAGGCCTTTGTACTTGACTTTATATTTCTAGCATAAAAAAGGAGTGAAATGAGAGCACAACAGAGGATTCGATTGAGGGGAGTTGATCATTTGTAAGACATGGACACAGCCAGGAAAGCTGGATACCAGAGCAGCTTTTTTTATTATTATTATTATTTTTTTTTTTTTATATTATATATTTGTGTAGGTCCTGAATATGTGTGGAGAGCAGCTGTGATTATACAAACAGAATAAAACAGAGAGATGCTCTGAGAGGAAGTGCGATGCTGCTAGTCTGGTCCAATTGTAGGTCATGAAGCAAAGGCATGATTGGAAGAGTTGGAGGCATGCTGAGATGAAAATCATGTATTAATGTTTCTTTTCCCTGGCTTTCACCTTTCATTTATTTGCAACTTTTCTCATCCTTTCTATTGCTTGTTCTTTCATGCCCTGCCAGCCTCTCTTTTCCTCTTCTTCCAAGTGCTTGCCAAATCCTCTGTGAACCAGAGGTCTTGGTGAGATTGTGCTAGCTGATTCCTCATTATATTGAAAGCCTTTAAACTCTGAGCGACAGATGAAATTTGCCAGATATTTCCAGACAAAGCCAACATGTCTCAACTGTCTGGAGAACACCACAAACATTGGGGTCCAAAAGTCAGAGATCACTAATGAAATGCTTCTAATTTGCATTTTTTTTTTTTTTTTTTACATTTAATACAGTTTTATTTGTTAGAAATTGCAGGATAACAGTTTGAGTTAAAATGAAAAAGCTGATGATAATGACTTCCAGTATGATTTGAGAATAATCCGAAGAGCATCTTGAGTTTAAATGGAAGAACATTTGACTGTACAAATGATCACATGATCAATGACACATTTACTTATTTGATTGGTGACACACATTTTTTTATTATTTAATATATTATTTATAACCATAAAACTTTTGATTAATGACCCAATTTTGCATATTCATGAATTAATTAATTAATTAATTAATTAAAACCACAAAACTTTGTTTAATTCCAGGTTTGATTGAGATTTTAAATCCTTGATTTTCAATGTGGTCTCATACTTTTGGACCCCACTGTATATTCCACTATACTGATGTGGTGTAATCTTCTGTCAAAATTGAGTTATGCCTGGCTATCAGAAAACGCACACATTTTTATACCCAACATTTTATAATGAATATTATTAAAAAGCAGATTTACAGAACAAAGACGTCTAAAATGGAGATTAGTCAGTAGTTTTAGTCTTGTTATAGTTGTATAGCAGCTGTTTATAAATCCTCGCAGAGTGATTTACTATTTCCTAAAAGTCCATTTATTACTATCTCCTGTGTGCATCCCTCCCAGCTGTTTAAAAAACAGAGTAATTATGTGGTTGCCCCATCTACCTGCTCCCTTACTGGCACTTGTTGCTGTGGTAATTGTGTAAATTTTGCATGCATCTGCGGTGACTGGCCAAGGCTGGAGTTGGCACGGACATCGGCCCTACTGATTCCAGCTGTCAGCAGTGTATTAACAATGATGAATCACTCCCCCACTTCTCAATCCAATCATAGAGACTACAGCAGGCCTTAGATCTGGTCACCTCTGACTAAATGATTTTTGGACAGTGTGGGGCGGCACACCAGAGCACCCAGTCGACACTTTGTGTTAGATTACGCTATTAGCCTGCAGCCTGCCCTTGTAACTGTGGAACCTGTTACTCAAATGACAAAGCAAGACACACAACAACCAAAACATGTAGAGCTCTCTGTTTTTTTGCAGCTATTGGTATTTATACTGGCATGCAAATACAAGCACAGTAACTTCACATGTAGTCATAACTGAATTATGATTAAATTGTGCCTCTTAGAGACTGATCTATAACCAATGACAGAAAAACGTCATTCAATGTGTTAATTGAAATTAAATTGCAATAAAATAAAATATTAATATTATTTATATTATTTATACATTTACATTTTTTTATTTTTATTAATGTAAATATAAAAGGTTTTAATTTTAAATAAAAACCTGAAAAACAAATATAGTAATATTGCTTTGGCAACTAATTGAAATACAAATGTTAAAAGTTTTAATTACTACTAAAACGGAAATAAAAAATAAAAAATGACAAAAATGACAAAAAGCACATAACAAAATTTTTACAAGTTAAACTAAAGTTAAAATAAACTGGAAAAAAATTAAGAAATAATTCTAATATTAATAAATAAATACTATAATAGAATAGAAATAATACTAAATAACACTGATGCACACACATGCACAAACATATTTAACGTAAAACAACACTAGAAGAAAAACAATTAAGTGAAATTAGTTTTTCATGCTGTTATCAGTGAGAGTGTTTGATTCCCCTATGCTGTGCCTCAGAGGAGAGCAAAACAACAGCATGAATAAATGATGAAAGTGAACAGGGGCTGCCATAACACTAAAAACTTCAACAAACTGCAAATCTGCAAAAACTTTTTCACTGCCAGAGACTTTGGTAGCACAGCTGAATATGCTACCACAGCTATTACAGTTGCTAAAACACAGACATATGCAGTATCAGATATTTGTGGTGTACAACTTTTGAAAGTCTAAAATAAACATAGAAAGCATTTAATTGCAATATATATATGTAATATTACCTTTTGTTAACTGTCTGACAGCTGTCATTTTTTCTTTAAAATGTTTTAGTTGTTTATGTGTAAAATATAGAAATCTATAATATTAACTGAAAGAATAAGTAGTCACTACTAATGCCTAAAGCAAAATCTAAAAAAAAATATTTATTTTTTTTCTTTTTCGCTGATGCCATTTTAGATTTTGTCAGACAATGGAACTACTTTGCATTTCACTTGAGTTTTAAAATGTCCTATACTGTACTGCAACTGTATACCTGAGCATTAGCAACAGACAGATATTCCTCTGATCCATCTAAATGGAAGACCTTAGGCGACAGGAAAAAGAGAGAAACAAAAAAATCAATGGTTTCTTGTACTCACAGCTTCAAGTTTCTATTTTAACATGGCTCGCTATTGATTAGCTTTCATACCTGAAGTCTCTTTGAGCAGCAGATCGCTCCAGGAGGATAGAAGAGAGTTTAGCAGAACAAAACCCACAAAATAGAGAGAGGGGAGTTGGGAAATGATGGCCTGATGCTTTCTTGGCCTGCTTGATCTGCACTAACAGTTCCTGCTTAAGCACGGTCAGTGTACAGTTGCCAACATGAAAGGCTTTTGTATTGTGTGATGGACTTTCCCAGAACAGCACTGCGGTGTACTGAGCTTTTATAGTGGGGAATGGAGGCTGACTTCGAAGGGTGAATCGTTTAAGGAGAGCTTGCCACGTGCTGTGCTCCCACTCCCGCTGAAATGAAAGGAGTTCCGGTGCTTTGTGTCAAGAGAGGCATCAAACACCTGTGCAGTGGAGAGCAATGCTGGGTAGGCAGTGTGGGGAAACAGCAGAACTGTAAGTGGCATGTCATTGTCGACATTAAATTCTTGCTAATTAAAAACCAGGAGAATATTATGCTACACAATACTTCATTACTGGTATGGTACTATAATCTTACATAAATTACGTCCATGTTCTGCTGTCATGGTGAGTTTGCGGTGACCAGCGTACTCCGTGAAACAATGTGTTCTCTGTCAGGAACTGATTAACCGAGTGCTGCTCCGGCACTAGCTAGGTGCTGATGGCTTCACAGCATCATGTCAGTATAGGGATTTTGAGAAGTGTTGCACAGCAAGTCTGGAAGGTCATTCCACTCACACTGCCTAAAGTCACACCACAGGGAAAGGGAATGCTAGAACCTTCTGCTAACCACAAAAAACATCCAAATTGCAAAGAAAACAAGACCATGATTAGCCCAGAAACATACTAAATGTTGAATGTAAACATTAAGTACTAGTTTTACAAACTTATTTTGTTGCGTTCTGAAATGTGTTGCAGGTTTGTGCAGCATTCAGAGCTGAATGAAGAATCTTTTAGATTCCTGAATTTGAGCTGAGAAAAAAAAAAAACATGACTGTAATCTAAAACTAGATGATCTAGAAAAGTGTAGTTAGTAAAAACAAAAAGAAAACGTTTTAAAGATGTATTTTAAAGATGTCCTGTTCCTTTTCTCATGGCTACCCCATCATTTAAGCAATTTCAGCCCAGCCAACTCAAGCAGAATAGCAGGCTGGCTATTACACTTTGTGTCACATTCTCCCCCAGCCCCGTTTATTTCACAGGGCCACTAAACGCTAAATGACACTTGACTTTTATCAACAAACTCCCAATTTTACACCATGCATCTCCATGACAATAATGGCTTTTGTTTTCCAAACCCGCAACAAGATTGAATTAGCACTGCTGAGGCCAAGTTCAGATATTCTGCAACAGATCATGATAGAAACAGATACTGCTGAGATACAAAAATAAAGTGTTTCAAACTTTCAGCATAGGAGAGTAAAGGGTGCTCTGAGTGTTCAGGCGTTTAGTTTCTCTCGGTTCTCCTCCTGCATAAAGCCTAATGATGTGGAGGTAATACAAAGTCAACTCAGATCAGAGGACAAGAGAGTGCCAAATAAGTGTGAATAAACTAGCTGTGAAACGTGGTGCTTTCCTCACTTCTTTAAGCGTACTGCCTCCTACATTACTTCTCTCTTACTAATTCCCTCTATTTACAACCTTTCCTTGCAGTTTTGTATTATGCTAAGAAATCCCACCCAATTATGGTGTCCCTTTTACAAGCTTTTGTAAAATCACACCTAAAACCTGCTTCCGCTACTAAAAAGACCAGCATAAGTTGCGTTTGGATGCCAGTATTCTGGTGTCCCCGCCAGACTTCTTAAAGGGAGTTCACCCAAAAATGAAAATTCTGTCATCATTTACTCAGCCTTGTTGTTCCAAACCTGTATGATTTTATTTCTTCTGTAGAACATAAAAGAAGATATTTTGAAGAATGTTGTTAACCAAACCATTTCGGTTCCCATTAAAATCCATTTTATTTTTGTCCGTTCAATGGGAACCGGAACTGTTTGGTTACCACCATTTTTCAAAATATGTTCTTTGTGTTCCGCATACAGATTTGGAACAACATCAGAGTGAGTAAATGATTCTAGAATTTTCAATTTTGGGCGGACTATCCCTTGAAATAGTCTAACCAACGAAACTTGGAAAAAGAATAATGTAAAAACACCCGAAACTTCATTCAGTCAACTCTCCATCTAAACAGTTTACATTTCCCTGTCCTCACCTATTTGTTGATATTTCAGGCCATTTTGAAGCAAGACATCTGCATTTATGAGCAGAGGGAGATGCACATGCAAACCCAATCCATCTGCAGCAGCTCTACTATAGAAACTATAGGAACTTTGACCCCTGCATCACCCTGTCTTTGGATTTGTTTTATTGGCACTGAGGAATAAGAGGGCTCTTCAGGCAAATAAGGGGCAATAGTCATAAGAGAGAGGAAGCCCTGCAGCATTCAATAAGCCATTTAATCGAGTGGAGAGCAGACATCAATACAGGTAAAACCCAGCAGGATACTCAGCAGGAAAACAGACAGAGGGAGAGGTAGTTTTCATGAGGACTCAGTATGTTTCACACAGGCAACACACAACAACTCCCAACACCACAATAGAGCACAGCTGTGTTTTATAAAGGGAGACCATAACATACAAAAAAAATGTTTTGTGTCTGGATGTTTTAGCTTTTATTTTTAAAATATGCTGTCAATGATATCATGAACAATATATAATTTGACTTCTTTAAAGTGTCGGATTTCAAAAACAAATGGCTGGTCAAAAATGTAAAGTTGGTAAAAAGTGCAGACATGTTCCAGTTCTGAGGGGACAGATTTATAGCTGGAAATCTGATCATCTAAGGTGACATAAATTAATTATGCAACACTCAGCAGATCTAACAATCCAAACTCTCTCCTCCTAAACTACAGTATAAATGGAAAATGTATATTCAAAGGTCCTCTAAGTTCAATTACTGACCAGACAAATTAAAGATGCAGTTCTGTAAGGGCCTGAAATTATAAAAGGTTCATAAGCTTAACTATTTTGCTGAGACATTTAGACTCATTTATTGTTACCATATCATCACCACCACATTAAAACAAACACATGTAAATAATGTAACTAATTTAGCCCAAACAAATTAAGCATGTAAATTAAATTAAAACAAAAGTTAATCTTTAATCTTTTAGCTGTTGAGAAGGAAGTGCTATTAAAACTGTGACCTACTACTCCCAGACACCAAGACTGTAGTCTGCCTTGTCTCAGTGTCTGTGTCATAAATCCCGATGTAGGTGGGGAACTGATTCCCTGCTTGGCCTGTTTCTTAGCCATGGAACTCAGCCGTCAATCAATGTAAAAAGCTTTACAATGGGGAATAAGGAGCATCCTCAGATTTAGAGCACTCTGCCGTAACTTTCTGCTCTCACAGACACAAAGAGAGAGAGAGCATGAGGGGAAAGTAGCAAGGTACATGTTATTTTAATTACTGTGGTGTTTACCACCTTATTTTGGTTCCCTAAGGGAAGCTCTATCCAGGCTTTGTGGTTCTTCGCTTTCGTTATTTTGATTGACATTACTTACCAGTGACATTGAATTTAGAAGGTTTAAGTTTCCTCTCAAGTTTTTTTTTTTTTCCGGTTACTACAAATCTGTAACAGCTTGGAGTCCGTTGTTAACACACTTTCACACAGTAACCATCATCTATAAGTAAATGTTACCAAAATATAAATGTATTATATTCATAAACATTATTTATTAATAAAATATTTATTAGTACATATTTATTCATATAAAAAATTTAATTGATTTTTTTTTTTTCAAAATTCAGTGGCAATTCATGCATTTGAAAAAGCATTTCAAAAATATTTTAATGTAAGTTGTTCATTAAATTAAGCCTCCTCTTACTTTACCCTCTCTCCATCTAATGTTAAGGAAATCAGTTGCTACAGAAAATGAAAACTTTCAATCTGACTTCATCTGCCGCTGTTAAACCTTTGCTGTCACCATCTGTTGTACACACCTTTGACAAGGAATCTCTGCTTTTTTTATTATTATTATTATTATTGTAGGGCCCTCTCCTTGCTGAAGTAGGGAACAACATTGCCACCTAGAGGATGATCCAAGTCAGTATCCAGCAGCTCAGTCCAGATTCACACAACCCCCTGCTACCCTCACAAACATTTTGCCTCAGTAACCTGAGGCACATTTGAAAAGTAATTTTATTGCAGCCCCTCCCCCAAACAAAACACATTCAAATGCGACTGTCACATCAGCAACACGGCTGCATCTCCGACCGAGCTATTCCATTGCCCCTACAGTTGGCTGAAGTGTACAGCATTTATAATGGTTCACTGGGCACTAACCATGAACATTCAGAACTATATCTACCCATGCAAAATCCAGAGGATCAGAGACCGGAAGATAGCATGCATCCACAAGGGCATATAGAGGAAAAAGAGGGAGGAAAACAAGTAGGACATGAGAGAAAATACTATTCCCACTGGTTTAACTACACCAAATCAAAGTCTTTTTTCCATGTAGCAATTTGATCCGCTTGTTGTTAAAACAAATTAAGCAGATTAAAAAAGCACATCCTACCTGAATAGATGGGAGCCAGTCGAAATATATCAGAAAGCCGGCTGTTCACAGGTTCATATGGAGAATCCTCAAGTAAATCATTCCCTGTAATATGAACAAATGACATGTGACTAAATAATCAAATGCTATATCAATTATGAAATATTTTTCTTAAGTGCATCATTGATGTCATTATTTAATGTGTGCATTAAACTACAAAGCTGGAAACTGTCCTTTACGTTAGTCAGTATTTGGGTCATTGATTCATGGAACTGGTTTACATTTCCGGAGCCAGTTTCTGGTTGATTAGCTGTACTGGTCAGTTGAGCTGAGAAAGTTGCTGCCCCCCTCCAGCACACACATATAGCCTACACTAACATAAAGCATCAGATGACCTCACACTCCATAAACTTTAATGGACACACTTCAGAGAGGCATTTGAAGACTTTACAGTGGCCCTATCTGATAACAGAACTCAGAAAAGCAACTTCCTTGGCGTAGTATTATTGGTTGCTAAGTGTTAAAAATAAACAATGTCAGAAAAAAAAATTGTGTATGACTTTATACTGCAATTTGAAGTTAAATATTGTCACAGCTTCATATATTTACAGTGCACTATATGAGAAAGCAAGTCCGCGCACCCTGTAAATGCTGATAGATCCCCCAGTAGATGCGCAGGCAGTTCTTTTCTTTCTTCATGCCTCTTTTACAGCGGCAGTTATACAAAGGGCTCTGCTTTAAAGCGTCCAGTGCAAGCCGGCATTCATCCTTCGCCTCCACTCCAGTCACCATACTGAAGTTGCTCTCCCTCCCCGCCACGCACTGCCTCATAGTTCGATACTTTGTGCTGCATCCCGGCTCCTTCAAACACAGCTCGTTCGCCTTCACACAGTCCAGCCGGTTTGAGCTAGTAAAGTAAGACTCCTCGGCAGATAACAGCACATCTATAAAGGACGACAATATAAATAATCATATCACGGATAGGATCGCGTTTTATTGAAATGCTTCAACAAAAGGCTACTCAAGACTGTTACAAAAGATATCGATGATAATAATATAACAACAACAATAAACTTATTAATATATGAATATTTAATTCGTATAAATATTTATTATTTTATTTTTGTTCTGTTTTTTTTTATATTTAGTGTATGAAACATTTTTCGAGTTAATATTGTTCAAGATTATAAGGATTTAATAAACTCAAGGTGCTTTAGAGATTAAAATATTAGCACAAGAAGATTTAAGCAGACTTAGTGGAAAGTAAAACAGCGCTGATCCTCAAAAGCTAAAATATGCCCTAGTTATGAGACAATTGTAGGTCTAACCGTATATAATCTATTTATATATTGGACAGAATCAAAAAGACTACAATGTGGAAAACTCTTTTTTTTTTTTTGATGGTCTTATGATGATGACATCTGAGTTTCAATCTTAAATACAATACTGCGTGTCAGTGTTCCTTCCAATCGATTGCTACCTATATCATTTACCAATCAATCACTGAATATGTAAAACCGCATTCAAACTCACCCAGCAGCGGGAAAACGAGGTAAATCGCGGCGATGAACATTGCGCTTTTTATCCGTTGGTAAGTTCGTTCAAACACGCAATTTATTGTTTTGACGATGAAAAGGATAATCCTTCCTCATTCAGGTCCATTGAAACATCGTTGGTCACAATGTACATCCAGAGTAGGTATAAAAGAAAAAAAAAATGTTCCGTAACCTGGTCCAAAACTGTCACTAAGCGATATGGAATGGTTTCTTGGATTAAGACTCATAGACAATGTAAGAAACAGGCAGAAAATGGGTCGCAAGGCAGCAGAATTAAACTCCAGCTCTCAAGATCTGCTGGTGCGTCTGAGCGCGCGACAGCACTGTGGCATTCAGTTCAGTTGCGCTGTAACCAAACCAAAAACCACACGCGACTCCGTGCACGCTCAGCGCTTCTGCTTGAAGCACGGCAACAGGACAAAGACATTCCGTTTTGCCACTCCAAAACTTATCGTCTTTAATGCGTTCTGTTATTGTGTAAACTGTATAGGGGGTTATGCACGCTGCTTGTGTTTTTATTTCTCGTCAGTTGGTGAGTGTGACTCTGAAATCGCTTTTGTTTGCCTGACCTCTAGATGTTGGACAATCTGGTCTGAATGGTATTATATGAGCAGATTAGTCTGGTCTGGCACTGGTAGGCTACGCCACTAACCAAGTAAATGATTTACGCGTATCAAATTGTGTATCAAAGTCTATAAATACTTATTCAGTTTTCACTCTAAGATTAGACAAGCCTACTTCTAAGGGAACATGCAACATTGCTGACTTACTCAGAAAATACTGCGAAAGAAATACGTTAAAACGTTCAGTCAAAATATAGTTTTGTTTTATGCATGATGATCACATAGCCTATGTGACATCATGATTAAGACCGTCCCTGGGAAGTTTTCATTTAACAAACAAGCAATAAAGATTTTTATTTTCATCAAATAAAAATAAACACACAACATAAATAATGCCGTTTTATTTAAGAACGTTACTTGCTTGTTTTTCCATTAAACATTTAAAATTACAATTTTCTTTACGGAATGACAATATATGGCTTTCCTTCTCTAATAAAGTTTTGGGGCGATCTCGTTCACAGTAGTAGTTCATTGCTTATTGAAAGACTGGTGGAGGTCGCCATCTGTTGGTAGCCTACGTATCTGCATCTTACTAATGAAATGACTTGACCAGTGGTTCTCAGCCATTGCAACCCTGAGTCTTCCATTGTCGAAATCAATAGATGGTTCCAGGTTATGATTTTTATCCCCTTTTGTACCTCTCCAGAAAAGGTGCCTGTTTTTGTACCTTTTAATAAACACAAATCAGGGCTATTATAGCTAACTAAAAAAAATGTTATTACTTGAAATAAAATAAATGCTAAATGAAATAAAATTTATTTGTTAACTGTAAAAGTTAATGCTCCAAATGCAAAATCCGTCACTGTGAACATTGTAAAACGCTACTACTCTGCTCTAGCCTGTAGCTGAACATGAGTACCTAACTGTCTCTGAAGAGTGAAAAAGCACACCGAAGTTGCCAAAACAAACATTTTATATCCACTACTGAGGGGAAAACTGAAAGTTTGTTTACCAAGGTAACGTGTAAAATTCCTGATTTTTCTCCAAATTAAGAAATATGACATGTTGAGTCCTGTTCACAGTGACAGTGATTAAAGTCACCAAGCTGCTGTTTCCAGTTTCTGTTCCTACTAATACATATTTTAACAGATTTAGTATTTTAATTATTATTTAAATATAATTAGTTTAAAAAATAATAACACTTTTAGGACATCACTTCCCAGCTGAGAACCACTGGAATATCCTTGTGTTGAGGCTGGTGGATTACATTCTACTTATTCTGTCTTATTAATGCGTTTTACAGTTTAATGACTTTATAGTTAACTATGGTTAAAAATCAATCAATTTCTCTTTATCAATGAGATCAATGAGGACTTTTACATGAGAAAAAAATCGAAACTTTTTGACGTTTATCCTTATGTCCATAGTTAATTAAGGATCAATTACTCTGACCAAATCTATATTGACAACTGTTCAATCAAGAGTCATGCTTCTCGTCTGATTTAAATGCATTTCTCAATTAACCTCATTTCATTCTAATAACCGTAAGTGGAGTTTCTAACTGGGTTTCTACAGGTCATTGGTGAAAAGCAGGGTTCAAGATCATTTGAAATATTCTCCTCACCTCATAGCTCTCTCTCTCTCTCTCTCTCTCTCTCTCTCTAAATGGGAATTATCTGAATTGTAATAACTAAATCGATTTGTCCAAGGCCTGGCTCCAGCTCTAAGATTTAAGGTGGGCCGGACAGTTGGGGTGGTTTCTTGGATGGGCCAAAGCCTGGTTTGCAGATTTTGCACTGTATCATGCAATAAATAAAACTGTTCTGTTCTGATTTAAGAGTTTGATTGTTGAAGAAAAAGTCTGGAAAACACAAAACTCATTGTGCAAATGAATGTCAAAATGATATATAGTCACCGTCATACAAACAAGAACACTTTAATGTGCTGCATGACACCAAATCAAAACCATTCTTTCCAGCAGTGCCTGGGAAACTGGGGAAAGTAAAGAATGACGTGACAAATACTGCTGGACCAAATGGCACCAAATTAAAGTTATTGATTGCTGACTGTGCTTACAAATGCCAAACAATAGGGAGATTGGCAGTTTGAATTGAGCTTCAAAGTAGGCTGGTAATGAATGAAACCGTTAGTTTAGGAGGCCAAATGACTGAGCTATCCCATGGGCTTACACATTTCTCACAGGTGGTGTGTCTAGGTACACCTCTGCCAGTGGATCATCAGTTTGTAAGTGGGCAGGCTACTGCAAGGCTATTTGCCACTGAAGTCGATGCCATTGTCTGTATCCACTCTACTTGCTCTCAATGGGGTAATGCCAGTGCAACTTCTGAAGAATTTGATCTGAAGTAATAATGAGAACAGATTCCTCTTTTTGCCATCTTTACACTGCTAAGGAGGCACAGAAACTGCATCCGATGTGGTATATATACATATATATACAATGAAACAGTTCATTTAAACACATTGTTTAATGCTGCACACAGAAGTTACAAATACATAATGGGCAATTCCACCTACTGGGTACCATTTGCTTGTTGTAACTGTTCCAAAAAATAAAAAGTAAAATCTAGTAACACACATATTTAACTATTGAGAATCAGTACTGGTCAATCTCAGGTAACTTTATTTATTTTTTTTTACAGTTTTTAAGTCGAAGATGGATGCATTTTTCCTCAGTCCTGTTACCAAAAATCTTAAGTCTTTTAAAAAGCATGTGTATAAATATGTCAGCTAATTTCTTAGTTTTCCCCTCAAGCAGGTGTTTATTTTAAAGAAATTGTTAGTTTCATGGTCAAAATATTTATAATTATCATGAAATATCACTATATATCTATGCAATGTGTATTTAAAAAAAAAAAAAACACAAACCCATTTTTTTAAAGGCGACTCAATCCTCAAGTTTATCAATGCTTTTATAATGTAATTTATTAAACAATGGAATAAATGATGGACCAAACTTAATTTCTAAATTGTGGTTTAATTGTGTTTATTTATTTATTTTTTAGAAAAAACAATTTACTAAAAGAAACTGGGTAACAGGAATGAACACTGGGTAACAGGAATGTGTGTCCATACATGTGTATAATAGGTTTGGCTACACTTGTGAGGTGTTAATGTCCTCACTGATATACTGAAGAATGTTGAACATTGACTAGTAAGCTGGACCTCACTGGTAAAAAAAAAAAGAAGAAAAAAAAGCCAAATCATGTTTCTATTTAAATCTAGTGGTCTGCAGAGGTTTTTGTTAGGGTTATGTTTAGGGGTAGGGGATGGGTTATGAGATTATATTTAAATAACAAAAAATAATGATAATGGGAAAATATCATTAACCTGATAAAATAAAAAAAAATTAAAAATTTAAGTCTATGATATGTCCTCACTAATATCATGAAATACATTTGTGCCTGTTCTTTTATAAGTGTCTGTGTTTGTACCTATACTTAACTATATTTAGGGGACAAATTTGTACCCAGAAATTAGCTAAACCTGATAAAATCTCTCAAAACCTCCTCTTGGAGACATCCTTGTTTAAAAAAATATTAGTTGATATATTACTTTAATATTCACCTGGTTTTTAAGATTTTTTTTTTTACAGATGAGGATGTCCCCAAAAGGAGACTTTGGGAGATTTCATCAGGTTTAGCTAATTTCTATATGCACACATCCTGGGGACAGAAATGGCACCGATTCGATGGAATGGCCCTAATATTATGCTAGAAAAATTAAATTGTAAATAAAGAAAAACAATACATAGGCCTACACATAAATAGATAGATCCGGGGGCGTAGCCATCATTTCAAAAGTGGGGGGGACGGAATGTCTAGTGTTATACCTGTTTTTTCCCTTGTCTAATTGACAGGTTTTATTTTTAATCATACCTGTTACGTCCCAGTGGTTGTGCCTCCGTGTTTTTGCTTTCTCCTTCTCTCTGCTCTGTTGTATTCTATATTAAAAGTGGGGGGGACACGTCCCCCGCGTCCCCCGCGTAATCTACGCCCCTGGATAGATCCACCTATACTATTTCTGTGCTACCAAGAAATTCATCATAGATTAGACAAAGAATGTTTACTTGTCTGGCCCGTTTTTCGTATCTCGCTCAATACATCTGAGATTATTTGAAAGATGCCAGATCTTCTAATCGTGATAACTGATCTCTGGCTAATTTGGTTCTT